AGTAAAATCAGCAAATAAATATATGAAAAAATGTTCCACATCACTGGTCACTGAAGAGATGCAGATGAAAACAACACTGAGATTCCACCTCACCCCAGAAAGAATGGCTGCTATCAAGAAATCAACCAATAACAAATGTTGGTGGGGATGTGAGAGAAAGGAACCCTTCTCCATTCATTGTTGGTGGGAGTGCAGACTGGTGCAACCACTGTGGAAATCAATATGGAGATACCTCAAACAACTAGCATTAGAGGTTCCATTGACCCAGATATCCCTCTGCTGAGTATCTTTCAAAAGAATTAAAATAATCATTCCACAGTGATATATGCGCACCCATTTTTACAGCAGCACTGTTAGAAATAGCTAAAACTTAGAAACAGCCCAATTGCCCATCAGATGGTGACTGGATAAAGAAGATGTGGGGGTTTTTTTCCTATAAAATGGAGTACTACTCAGCCGTAAAGAATGAGCAATTAGAGTCATTCATAGGAAAATGGATGTTTATTGAGGTCATACTCCTAAATGAAATAAATAAGTCACACAGGTGTAAATTCCAAATAGTTTCTCTGGTGTGAAAAACTAAAAGTGTAAATAAGATCCAAATGGTATAATTGACAATGTGAAATAGGAAGAAAAGGGCTAAAGGGGAAGTGCGAAGGGTAGGGGAAAGTAAATAAAGGAAAAGAAAAAAATAAGAAAATAAAAAAATGGAAATAACATTTTTGTAAATAGGGAAGGGAGGACAGTGTGAAGGGAGGGCAGGGGTGTGGGGAACAAATGAGAACCAAGACCTGTCATGTAAAGGTACAAGGTCCCAGTGATGAATGTAACTGTACTGTATACCTAAAAAGTACCCATAAACTCAATGAGAAAAAAATAATAAATGGATAAATCTGAAGGTTTTCCCAATATCTCTGAATCCTAGCAGTCTATAGAACAATAGATGCATGCAATTGCAACTGGTTATTTCCACTAAGTCAACCAACTTACAACAAAATTTATCTCCTCCAGAATCAAGTGATTCCCGTGGCATCATGTCTTGTTCCTCAGAATTGTGGCCTTCTTGCTTCGTCTTTCCAGGTAAGAGGATAAAAATTGCTGCACAATGGTAAATATCTTACTCTGCCGAGCAGATATCAGGCTCTGACAGTGATAAATACTGCTTATAGTATCACCTATAGAGACCATACCGAGACATATCACAGGGAAGCGTTTCCAGTCTTTGTCAGACTTTCATCTCACACACTTAGGAAATAGTCAAGAGCAACCAAAAAATGATAGGTATTTTGAAGCATATATTTACCTGATGCTATCCAACAGTTCAATTTAACAAATGTATATAAAATATCTACGATGTGCCACCTGCTTTTCTAAAACACTGTAGGAGATGTACAAATAAATGATGTGCTCTTGCACTCACAAATTTCTTCTAATGGCATGAAGCCTTGATATCATGCAATTTTACTTCATGTTGTTAAACAATAATACCAAAGATTATACAGCATTTGCAGCAAACCTTCTGAGAAAAGCCTAAAGTTTGTTTTCTCAGTAAAGGTGCATTCTGTCTCATTTTTGGAAGCAGGTGTATCTTCAAAAATTCAAAATACTAAAAAAAAGAAATTTCAATGCCCAGAGGAGTATCTCAGAATCATCTTTTTATTCACAGAACCATAGGATCGTAAAATCTCTGTATAGAAAGAGACCTAGAGGGCATCCAGTCCAATACTTTCCGGCTTCACACTAACATATCTATCACCTGGGGTGCTTTTAGTAACCTAGATGCTCAGGCTCTGGCCCCCAGTGACTGTCCCTGCCGGCCTGAGTGGAGTCAGGCCATCCTAACTTTGTAAAATCTTCCCAGGTTGTTCAGATACTCAGCCAGGTTGAACACAAATCTACCCCAACTCCTGGCTTTATTATACAAATGTGTCCGCACTACTTTTCCCAGCAAGGTGTCATTTAGTTTGTACTTAAACTTACATGGAATAGGACTCTGACCCTTAGCCATAGTTGTTAGAACATACTTATATATTTTTTCTGTACATGTGTGTATATGTACAGTTATGTTAATATATGTCTTCAAAATATATGTCTGTATGTGTACATATAGTTATCTGGTAATATCTGTTTCCACAAATGATTCTTTAAGGTTTTTGAGAACAGAGGCTAAATCTGTTTTATTTACTAGTTTGCAATTTATCTTAGACCTTGGTACTTAGAAGATAGTTATTAAAATTTGTCAATTGTGTGCTGAATGGAATGAGGTCCTTTCCAGTTTATCCTGAAGTCTCTCTGAGACATCCGTCTGTTGTGCTGTTTTGTACAATTTTGGAGACTTTGTCAGTCCATGTGCCAGATACTAGGAATATAAACACAAATGAGATCTCTTTCTTCCTTCTCCCAACTCTTAATTTTTGACCTGCAGAGAAAGATGTTGATATTTATTTTAATCCAAAATGATAAGCACAATGTCAAAACTAAGCATGGAGGAAGTAAGGAGACAGAACGGAAGGCAGATGTTCAGGCTTGATGTAGGTGGTGGAAGGGAAGTAAAGTGCAGTACCAGTATCCCCATAAATAGTTTCCAAGAAAAGTCCTAATGAATGGAATCTAGAAGGCCTAGCTCTTGAATTCTTGAATGTTTTACACTCTTTAAAATAAATTTTGCCCTGTGCTGACAGGTAGTCCTGCAAGTATATATACAGAGGTCGTTCTTTCAATCTTCTTTAGAGCTAATATCCAATCTCATTGGATTGCTTCTCACATAGAAGTATTATACATCCCTCACTGTATTTCTTCCATATCAGATTAGCGTACCTGACTAGTGCAATCTGAAGAAGGCTTTCAGAAAGCAGTGCATATAGCACATCTTTCACATTGAAGAGGTATAACTGAACTCCAAAGGTCCCTGCTTAGCATAATTTCCATAGCGTCAGTGTGAGTTACAAGCAGACAATATTGGTCATAGAATATAAATCAAACCGAGCCTTTCCCCTCAGCATTTTAACTAAAACTGAACTTCAGCAGATGACTAACACAGCGGGTTAAAAGTGAGACATTGACAATTTTTTGGCTCTACTATCTTAGCAAACTTTATAGATGAGTTTCTGCAATTAACGCTCTTGTAGTTATCCCCAGGTAAATAACTCTGTTTAATAAGCTGGAGGAGGATGGCTCAGAGATAATGTTGTTGTCATAGAAACAATGCTTGCCTATTAAATTAGTGAGAGGATGGGAGAATTATGGCTTTATCTGGGCATATTAAGTATAGCGTGTAGGGAAAATGTTGAAATGTGTGAAGATAGAGATATTAGTTATAATGGTAAAATACCATTCTCATTCTAAAAGGCAATATTCACTTGTTTTCTAAAGGCATAAACTTAGTAATGTATCTCTCTACTCTTTAAATAAGAACTTTTTACCTGGAAATGATTCATTCTGTTTCTTCAAAGGGATTTGGGAAATTCTCCTGAATTCCTCTGAAGATCTAAATCAACCTCAGACTGCGTTCATGTAATGGAAAAGTACAGACCCCCGAGGTGATCAAACAAGCCCAACAGCTGTTAGATGTCCATTAAAACAGTACTACAAGAGTATGTATTTGATGAATTTCTCCTGGGACATTTGTATCTAAAATGAGACTAGAAATCACATTCTCTCCCGTAAAGTCACTCTGAGAAGCCCCAAATTGGAATATGTGTGTAATTAATAAATGAAAAACACTAAGCTCATTTCCCATTGCTTATATCTATCCAGGTAACCATCTCTTGTGGGGCTAAATCTGATATTTGTTAGGCTTTTGAAAAAGAAAAGTGGGGCTTTGATATGAAAAGGATTTATCAGGTGCTTGTCAAGTCATGGCCTTTTAGTAGGTACAAAATGCGTAAATGGTGAGCTCCTTGAAGGTGGGGTTCCTTTGATATAGGAAATACTTATATGTGGTTAAATTCAGCCAGTTAAACATAGCAGTGCCATCTACCTCTAATTAGGGAAAACTGTGCATTTCACCAAATGGCTATATCCAGTCATGCCCTGAGGGTAACTAATTGTACATAGGCCTTCACATTTTTACTAATGCTGTATTTATTCCACATGCAAAATTCGTATGCTTTTCTTAAATGAACTGGTCCTTCAGAGTAAATGCCATTAAATGAGAGAGTTATACAGATGATTTCTGAATTTTATATCATAAGGATATATAAAATTGCAAAAAAAAATTATTAAAATGATAAAATCACCCAAACAACTCTCTTTACTGTTGAAGTCATTTATGTGCCTTATTTATTTATTCACTTATTTATCTACATTCAGTAGTAAAAATTAGGCTTTTGTTTTGTTCTGATCAGCCTAGGCCAACCAGTAAGAGATATTATTTCTTTTCAGAGGTAGTGATATTTAAGACTGGGTATTGAAGAGTTTAGAAAAACGAGAAGGAAGAAACAGACCATTCTATTTAGAGAGCTCAGGAAGAAGTTCTCAGTGTACCAGGCTCAGCATTCTATGGGGGCACATTAAATATGAACACTCATCTCCCCATCCTGGGACGTACTGAACCACAAACCCTAGACTGGGTTTAACATACAGTAATCTGTGTTTGCAACCCTTGTAGTGATTTTGTTAGACCTTGATATTGAGAATCACCAGATTAGAAATTTGAAAGATAGTAATGCATTTGGAGGACTTTAATTTCTTTAGCCTGGCTCAACTTTAGACCAAGTGGGGTAAAGGTTGAAGATGAAGAAATAGGCAAGATGTTAATGTGCCTTCATATGAAATATGCACTGTATCAGGATCGTGGAAAGCTACTAAAATATCTGCAAGCAAGGAATTAATATGGAAGCACCTGAAAAAATGACCGGAAGGTCATTGTGGGAAACATTTTGAGTCAATGTGAGGAACAGCCCGATTGGCTGAGAGATTAAGTGATGTCACAGTTACAGAAGGATTCTAGATGCTGGAAAAAGACTAAGTTACAATGGACTGAGAAGACAAAAATCTGCTTCAGGTCATGGAAAATGAGTACCTGTTGAATCTACTAAAAGCAATTAAAAATACCTGTAAGGGTCACATTTAGAAAATAACCTTTGAGGTTTTTTGTTTTAGTTATTGGAACTTTTTAGGTATACAGTACAGTTACATTCCTCACTGGGATCTTGTACCTTTACATGATGTATCTTGGTTTTTATTTTTTCCCCACACCCCTTCCCTCGCTTCATCCCCTCCACCCTTCTCTATTTACAAAGACTTTGAGTTTTGTTGAATTTAAATTCCTATGGCTCTCTGCAGTTGTGGGATTTAAATTCTGTTTGCCTACTAGCTAGTTAATTGGCTGTATGTAAAAAACTGTAAGAACGAATGAGATATCTTGCAGAAATTATATGAGAGAATAAAACAAAATCCTTAGAATTTCTTTTCTAAATTTCCTTTTCTATGGGCTTGTTAGACAGAAATAAAAGAGCCAAAGGAAACTGTAGACTCTGATTTTTGCACAGCCACCCCAAATCTAGTCCTCTATTGTCTAGCTACAAAAATCATATGATTAGGTGTAAAAAATAGAGCTTACTTGGAAGAGATGTGGTTTTGCATAATTTTGAGAGAGATTTGGATTCTTAAAAGATAAATGTTTAAAAGAAGTCTATTAAAAATTATAAAGTAGCAATGCTTTAAAAGGTATAATTTAACCTAATGATGAGTAGAGGGAGTGAGAACATTTACATAATTCCCTTGAAATGATGGCAATAAAAATCTTATTTAAGGCACAACTTTAAGTATTGATAATTTGGGCAAAGGAAAAATTAATGATCACACAAAGACAATTCCCTAAAGCAATTTTTTCTCTTTCTATTGGCATTCAAATGTACCCCTCTTCAGGCATTCCCAGAGTGGAGCACTCCATACTTGTTAAATGTACCCAGCACTGAGCTTTACTAAATTTACCAGAGAAACGAGCCGGGCATGGTGGTGCACGCCTGCAATCCCAGCACTCGGAAGGCTGAGGCAGGAGGATCACTGTGAGATCGAGACCAGCCTGAGCTACATAGTGAGTTCCAGGTGATTCTCAAGTACATAGTGAGATCTTGTCTCAATGCCCCCCTCAAAAAAATAAATAAATTTACCAGAGCAAAACAACATTAAGAAAGCTTCTAATTTATTTCCACAGGGACCTTTTGTCTAAGAGAACATGGTGAGATCACCATGCTACCTAGTATCCTCCTGTATTTTACTTTTGAACCATAAGTCATTTATGACCAAACTGGCAGTCCAAAAGACAACATGGTATCTAGAGGGATGGGGAAAAAGCTGAACATAATTGCCCCCCCTTCTCTTCACCATAGTTTATCTGAAAGTTGATGTCTTTCTGTTTAAAATAAAACCCAAGTAAATCATCCTGTAGAAAGCATTATAACCCTGACGAAATGTCTTTCTGTCCCTGATGACTAACTGTCTTCCCAGCCCCCTCCACTTCACCTGTAACAATGTGGGAGGAACATCCGTGCACACAAACACACTTTAGGGTGAGGAAGGGGTAGAAGAGGAATTCTCTCTTTCCCGCAATGTCTCTGCATCCTCTCTAAGTTATGGATAATGAGGCTGGAGGTGTAATTACTCAAGGAGTTTGGAACCACAATTACTGAGCTAATCTGGAACAGGGCGATGAGTGCCTCCCAACAAACTCACTTAGGGCTGTCAGAGCTACTTGGAACGTGATAAGCAAGCGTCTGGTGTTTGCAAACGCAGATGCTGTAGCAAAGGAAGCTCTGTATTACCAATTACCACAACGACCAGCTACACTTCACTCATTCTGGTTTTGTAATGAGAAAGCCCATTAAACTAGAATAACTTTAAATTGGAACTGTTAAAGTCACACAAGTTTAGAAAGAGATGGAAGAATTCACCAAGATGGCAACGTTGAGGAGGCTTTTGCGGGATCCTGTTGGATTTCAAGCTTTGAAGCGTCACGTCTTGCAGACATCTCTACTGTCATCTGTTCCCACTTATCAAAGGAGAGCTGAAGTTGAAGGAGCCCTCCTAGGGGTTCTTAAGCTAGAGCAACAGAGCTCTGCATTACAGATCACGACTCCAGGGGAGAAGGGATATCTGCAAAGCTAAGGCGCAAATGTCCGTGGAACATTTTAACTTGTTTATCTTCTATTTTTGCTAGTACATGTTTGCAGTACGTAATGATTACAGTCATCATGCGGAGCTGGTATAGGAACATAACAAACACATCTTCACACACTTCCGTTCCTCTTCCTTCTCGCCCTCTTCCTCCCCGCCCCTCCCTCCTCCCTCAGCCCCTTCGATTTTTGTTGTTGTTGTTGTTGTTCCTGGGATCGAACTCAGGACCTTGAGATTGGGAGGCGGGCAGCGGTACCACAAGCTAAATCCCCAGCCCCACCCCTCGCCCGGGCGGTGCTTTCCCTTGTGTAAAAGATCTATCTCCTGGCATTTCAGCTTCTCCGTTCACTGTTTCACCGGAATCTGAAAGACATCCCCATCCTGTACATGATTTCTGTTTCCCGTCTCTCCTCTCAGCCTGAGACCTGGGACTCTGGCCTTGACACCTCTCACCCCACCCCTTTGTGACGCCCCTGGCCCCAGCCCAGCCTCAGGCGCGATAGGCCAAACAGCCAGGCGCGCAATGCACCCTCGCTCAGGGCTCAGAACGCCTGGGCCTGGCTCGGCTTCCCAGGACCCCTGGAGGCCAGCCCTGAAACCTCCATCACCGACCATGGCCAACCAGTCCTGCCGCCCGCTGCCCCCGCGCCTGTCGCCCCTGAAACCTTTGAAGCCATATTTTGGAAAAATCCAGGTGGGAATCTGTGTGGTGATTGAGCGCAGCGACAAGAGGATCCACCTGGCTGTGATCACAGAGCTCAACAGAGAGAACTCCTCGGTTGCAGTAGAGTGGGTTGAGAAAGGAGTCAAAAAAGGTAAGAAGATTAATCTGGAGAACATCCTGCTGCTGAATCCAGCTCTGGCCTCTGCTCAACATCCCAAGCTGCCCAAGCCATTGCCCCCTTTGTGTCTAACACCTTCTCCAGCCATCGGGGACCAGTGCGCAACCCCACTGTGGATTGCTATGGCCCCCCAAAAGAGTGTAACACCCTCAGAGGACAGCCCAGCCGTGGGAGTCCCCAGCCATCCCTGTCTGATGAGGCAGAGAAAATCTCACTGCCTGCGGGAAATCGAGAAACTGCAGAAGCAACGAGAAAAGCGCAGGCAGCTGCAGCTGCAGATACGAGAGAGACGCGCACTCGACTTGAACACAGGACACCCCAACCTGGAGGTCATGCGCATGATCGAAGAGTGTCGCAGGGGCCTGGACAGCAGCAAGGTCCCCTCCGTGCCTGGCCTGGAGCCGCCTGAACACCACCAGATCTGCGTCTGCGTGAGGAAGAGGCCTCTCAGTGAGCAGGAGACCACCACGAAGGACCTGGACATCATCACTATCCTCTCGGACAACGTGGTCATGGTGCACGAGTCCAAGCAAAAGTTGGACCTCACTCGCTACCTGGAGAACCAGACTTTCCGTTTTGACCGTGCCTTTGACGACACGGCCTCCAACAAGTTAGTATACCGGTTCACAGCCCAGCCGCTGGTGGAGTCCATCTTCCACAAGGGCATGGCTACCTGCTTTGCCTACGGGCAGACTGGCAGTGGAAAGACACACACCATGGGTGGAGCCTTTTCAGAAAGGGCCCAAGATTGTTCTAAAGGCATCTATGCCCTGGTGGCTCAGGATATCTTTCTTCTGCTCAAAAACCCCACTTATGAGCAATTGGATCTCAAAGTCTATGGGACCTTCTTTGAGATTTATGGTGGCAAAGTGTACGATCTGTTGAACTGGAAGAAGAAACTGCAGATCCTTGAGGATGGCAATCAGCAAATCCAAGTGGTCGGGCTACGGGAGCAAGAGGTGCACTGTATGGAGGAAATGATGAACCTCGTGGAGCTAGGTAACAGCTGCCGTACCTCTGGACAGACATCGGTCAATGCCCACTCATCCCGGAGCCATGCAGTGTTCCAGATCATCCTGAAGTCCAGAGGCAAATTGCACGGCAAGTTTTCCCTCATAGATTTGGCTGGAAATGAAAGGGGAGCGGATACAGCCAAGGCCAACCGGAAGAGGCAGCTAGAAGGGGCAGAGATCAATAAGAGTCTCCTGGCCCTCAAAGAATGTATCAGGGCATTGGGTCAGAATAAACTTCACACCCCGTTCAGAGCCAGCAAACTCACACAAGTGCTCCGGGATTCCTTCATAGGCCAGAACTCCTCCACCTGTATGATCGCTGCGATCTCACCAGGGATGTCCTCTTGTGAAAACACCCTCAACACTTTAAGATATGCAAACAGAGTAAAAGAATTGGCTCCAGAAGTCAGGCACTACCCGCGTTGCCTCTCGCGAATTGGACAGGAGGCACCACAGATTTTAGCAAAGCACATGAAGAATTCACCACTGCCCCTTCAGGGGAATGAACTTAGGAAAATACCTTGTATTCAGAGTGATGAGGAGAAACCAAGTGAAGAAATTGCAATATTATGCACCCCACTAATGAAGGATAGGACGTCCTGGAAGGAATCAAGCCAATGGTGGGAGAACATCCGGGAGATGGCTAATGGAGTTAAATGTGATGTAGAGCATTGCATTGCCCACTCATTGTATATTTTGGAGCAGAAAATTGACGTTCTGAGTGAGATCCAAAAGAAGCTGAAATTATTACGAGCTGATCTGCAAAAAACCAAAGTAGAGTGAAACCAACAGCAAGAGACCAGGACTGAAAGGATGGAAGGTACTGCAGGTTCTACCCCTCTTTATATGAGACATTTTGCCCAAATTGTCTAAGCATAAAGATCCTCCTGGAGAGCTTACAGCATCTTAAAATATGCTGCTTGGGCTTATGGTCTTTCTTCTTCCTCTGTATTTCTGTAGTTTGCTTTTATTCTGTAAGATGTGGATTCTCAACTGGGAACAATACCCACCACACCCCCACTCCCCCACACTCGCACATTGAACAATTGCCAGTGTATGGAAACAGTTGATTACGATACCTAGGGGATGGGGATGTCGGCACAGAGAACCACTGGTGCTGCTAAACATCCTATGTCAAGACAGCCTTCCTCATTGAATCTCTGTGCATGTGTCTGGGTGAAAATATAAATTGTACCAAGGCTGGGAAGCCCTGCTGCCCAAACAACCAGCTGTGATAAAATCAGATACCCCACCTTGGCAGCTAGGAATGCAAACTGCTGTGAATTAAAGAGGCTAGAGGAGAAACACACCAAGGAGGTACTCAGTGGAGTAAATTTCATGATACCCACTCATGAATTCTCTTGAATGTTTTGTGTAGACACAAATGGTTTCTAAGATTCAGTCATGCTGGGTACAGAGGAGATGAGTGCATTTCACTGAATGACTATGGCAAAGACTAGAATTCTATTTTTTAAAAATCCCAGTTGAAATTGTAAAATACTGTATTGTACATCCTGGGAGTGATTAAAGTGTGTGTGTGTGTGTGTGTGTGTGTGTGTGTGTGTGTGTGTGTGTTTTGCATAATGAGAGGCTTTGTGACTATGGTGTTTTCAAGGGTGTTTTTTTTTTTT